TGGAAAGATGGTTTAATGGTGGACAAGGCCACAAAGCTTGGAGCTCCTGAGTGAAAAGAACAATCATATGCTTCAAGATGAAGGAAAAGAAGGAAGGGCTGAGATGCTGAGAGTGCCTGGGTTTTATACCCTCTGTTGGGATTTGAATTTGAGCTTGTGTTCTGATTGGTTGTCAGACTCCCATGGGGCCACGCAGGGGCAACTCTGTAGGCTGTCCTGAATCCCAGGCTTGGTTGAGCCTTGCTGGGTGATGATGTAATGAAAGGGCTTTGGGCAATTCCTATTATAGCTCTACCTAGAGTAGATCTTTGTTATGTAAAATAGACTGGCCTAGGCCAGGGTAATGGCCCATTAGCAAAGATGTGGCGGGGGGGCTGAATTTCTGCTTCTGAGTTTCTACTCAGGGGAAATATTCTGCCTTTTTAATATTTCCTAAGCTATTTCATTTTTCGAGGAGAGGGGTGGGTGCTAACTTCCTACAAATGCAAGTAGAAAAATAGGGACCCCTTTGGTGGGAAGGGAACAGCATTCTGTGCATCTTCAGCATTTAGTCCTGCCGGCCACATGACCACAGAGACGTCTTTGGACAGCGCTGGCTCTTCAGCTTTGTAACGGAGATGAGCACCGCCCCCTAGAGCCGGAAACGACTAGCAGGGATGTGCGAGGGAAACTTTTACCTTTACCTGTGAGAATTTAGACAGGAGCAGGGAATGAACATAAAAAGGAAATAAACAGTTTATGAACTGATTTTAAAATGAATATTTTTTTAAACTTATTTTCTTCTGGATACACATGTTTTCTGTCTTGTCCTTATTATTCTCTCTCTCTCTCTTTTTTTAAAGGCATCCGATCTTCACCTTAAAAGGGTCCTGCCGCCCCCTGCCATCTCATTACAGATAATTGTGGCATGCTGAGTGGGGTCTTTGTAAAGGGGACAGCTACAGCCCCACCAAGAGAGCAGCGTTTGATTCTAACTCAGCAGAAACAAGCAGCCCAAATCTCTTCAGTTATCTCTGTGGACAAGGTGGATTGGCCGGGTTTATAGGCTTGTTTACAAGCTTACAAGCTTCCTTATCAGCCACTTACAAAATGTCAGCGCTAGATAGGTGGGAGCGAGCGAAGGTTCCCCGGAGTCGTACTGCAAACATCCCTGTAGCTGGGGCAAACAGAGGTGGGCATGATTGGAGATTCAGAGCCGGCGAAGGGATAGCTGCCGTTGTCCTAAACGGATTCCTTGTTTCTGAGAATGGAAATGCCTTTTTCATTCTGCAAAAACACAGAATGGCATTGAAGAGCAACACTTTATAAAGGAATCCAATTAAGCGAAAGAAAGGGGCTGGGGGAAATACCAGGCTAGGTAACTGCCCTGTACCAGAGATGGCATTCAGCCGGTTCTGACCGGTTCTACAGAACCGGTAGCGGAAATTTTGCGTAGCTCAGAGAACTGGCAAATCCCACCTCTGTCAGGCCCCGCCCCCATCTTTTCTCTGCCTCCCAAGTCCCAGATGATTGGCTGGGTCTTCTTTGGTTGCCCTGCACAGGAGAACAGAGCTGGAAAGCAGGTTAGTGGGGTGGGGAGGATTTTTGCAGTAACCTTCTCCCAGGAGTGGGGGGAGGGAATGGAGGTTTTACAGCATCCTTCCACTGCCATGCCCACCAGGCCATGTCCACCAAGCCACACCACACCCACCAAGCCGTGCCCACAGAACCGATAGTAAAAAAAATTGAATGCCACTACTGCCCTGTACCTAAGGAAAGGAACACGCATTGCAATTACAGCAACCAACAGGAGGTACCTGCACAGGTACCTGTCATTATAATGAAGAAGAATATCTGTAGCTCAGGGTTGGCACGAGGGCTCCTTGGGGCTCTCTGAGTTTGCTTGTTTTCTTGCAGATGTTTCATGACCCAACTAGGGAACATCATCAGGGCCAGTCTAGACAGAGCTAGACTAGCCTTAGTAGTCATTGCTGGCTTAGCAACCACAATTGGGCAAGCGAGTTAGTTGCTAAGTGCAACTGTCACTAATCAGGGCATCATGTGATTGTGATGGCTTTCCAATCTTACTTCCCTTTCATCTGGATTGGAGGCACGTGGGTGGGGGGAGAATCCAAGGGGTCTCAATGGCTCTCGGAGTGCTAACAATCCGATGACTGCAAAGAAATATGATCCCTTCACTCACTCACACACACACACACACATCCTGTTGGAAGCAATTCTTCCATCGCCCCACCCCTACCCCCATCACTACTGATGAAGTTTCTGGGATGACAAGTAAAACATCTTCTTCTACTTCAAGAGGAAAAAATGTCCAGTTAACTTTTGAAAAATAGCACCTTTGAGTTCCTCTTCATCCATTAAGTGAAACACCATGGTCACGAAACAAAAACTTCAGGCTTAATAGCAGTAACTGTGAGAGGGATCTTGGAGTCTTAATGGACAACCAGCTAAATAGGAGCCAGCAGTTAATACCACTCTATAAAGCCTTAGTAAGGCCACACCTAGAGTACTGCATCCAGTTTTGGTCACCACACTATAAAAAGATGTTGAGACTCTAGAAAGAGTGCAGAGAAGAGCAACCAGGATGATGAGGGGACTGGAGACTGAAACATATGCAGAATGGAATTGCAGGAATTGGGCCTGGCTAGTCCAGTGAAGAGAACGACCAGGGGAGACATGATAGCAGTCTTCCAATATTTGAGAGGCTGCCATAGTGAGGAAGGGGTCAAGCTATCTTCCAAAGCACCTGAAGCCCAGACAAGGAATAATGGATGGAAAGGAGAGATTCAACCTAGAAATTAGAAGAAATTTTCTGACAGGGAGAACAATCAACCGATGGAACAGAAGTTGCCTTCGGAAGTTGTGGGAGCCTCATTATTGGAGGCTTTCAAGAAGAGACTGGACTGTCATTTGTCAGAAATGGTGTAGGGTCTCTTGCTTGGGCAGGGGGTTGGACTAGATGACCTACAAGTCTCTTCCAACTCTGATCATCTGTTATCTGTTTTCATGCGTGTGATCACTGAACCGGTTGTTATTACCTGTGGAGTCCCACCCCTGCTCCAGGGTCCCTTCCAACTCTGTTATTCTATGAGTTGGGATGAGTTTGAAGGTATGAAATCTGCCGCCTTGAGCAGGGGTTTGACTAGAAGGCTTTCAAGGTTCCTTCCAGCCCTACAGTTCTCTATTCTAAGGGAAACCAAAGTTAACCTCCAACTTAATTTGGCAACAGCACTGCTTCAATCCAAGTCATCCAGTAATCTCCGTAGCGTAGATGTAATGATCCCTTCATGAATAAACTCTTCACCAAAAGTTGAACATCACAAAAGAAGATTCTTAGATGAAAAGAGACTGACTTCTTAATATCAAGACATCCAAAATTTTCTATATTGTTTAATTAAACTCTTCACAAAGACGAAAACAATCAAAAGGTTAAAAAAAAACAACGGTCCTTCCCAACTAGCAGGTAGGGAAAAGGGGAAAGATTCCCTTGAGTCAAGCAGAACTCCTAGCATATTCTTTTGTTGTTTTAATATGCCTAACAGAAAGTAAACAAGACAGAAAAGAAAAATGTTAAAAAACACAAAGGGAAATAGAGGAGGAAAACAAAAACAAAGAGAAAGAATGTGTTTCTGATCTTCTTTATTACTTTTAAGCACCTCATTAATCCCCATTCAATAACATTGATTGTAGACCCAGTTCATGAACAGAGAGAGAACACATATTATGAGTAGAAGACCCCAATTCAGTTATTCTGTATTCTATTTTCCAAAGCACCTGAAGTCAGACAAGAAACAATGGATGGAAATTAATCAAGGACAGAAGCAACCTAGAACTAAGGAGAAATTTCCTAACAGTGAGGACAGTCAACCAGTGGAGCCGCTTGCCTTCAGAAATTGTAGGTGCTTCCATCACTGGAGGCTTTCAAGAAGAGATTGGGAAACCACTTGTCTGGAATGGTATAGGGCCTCCTGCTTGGGCATGGGGGGTGGACTGGAAGACCTCCAAGATCCCTTCCAACTCTAAGAAGTCTGCTATTCAAATAGTCAGTAAATGATTAGCCATATTATCTCGATTCCCAAGGATGTCTTTGCACCCACAAAAATCCAGCAAGTATCCTTAGGAAATAAAATGGCACATGGCTACACGCCAATCCAGACAATGTCAGCTTTGCTTTTTGGATTCCGCCCCCCTTTTCTTTGAAGCATATTCTCTGCCTCAAAAGAAGGTCAAGGACTCTGAGAAGTGATGGATGGAGTCCCTGAAGCAGTGGGGACGGTGACCAGCCTTACTCACATGTCTTCTGGTCAAGAGGTCTTTTGTAACTGGTCTTAGCCCCTGGGGGAATTGGCAAACTCTCCTCCCTGGCAGCCCGTTTTGTGAGAACTAACCAGCAGGATCCCAAAGATCTGGGATTTTGTCTCCATCACAACACTGGAAAAAGTTGTAAGCCTAATAGCACCTATTTATAAGTTAATGCCCCTGGGGCCCTGGGCACAGAGACAAGGACAACTCACCGTGGCCAATTCAGCAGGGGATAACTCGCTGCAGGACAATTCAATTTAATTATAGCAATAGCACTTATACACTGTTTCACAGTGCTTTACAGCCCTCTCTAAATGGTTTTACAGAGTCAGCCTCTTGCCCCCAACAATCTGGGTCCTCATTTGACCCACCTCGGAAGGACGGAAGGCTGAGTCGACCTTGAGCCTGGTGAGATTCAAACTGCCAAATTGCAGGCACCTGGCAGTCAGCAGAAGTAGCCTGCGGTACTGCACTCTCTAACCACAGTGCCACCGTGGCTCAATGTAATTACTTTAAAGCATATTAATAATGTAATTATTAATTATTTTATTCCACCATTTCTTTGCTATTAATGTAACTCTTGTCCTGCAGCGAGTTTTCCAGCAGCGAGTTGGTCATGGTAAGTTGGTTGTGGTGAGTTGGCCATGGCGAGTTGGCTATGTTGAGTTGGCCGCGGTAAGTAGTCGTAGACTTCCCTGCGCAAAGCAAGCAGGCTGCCGTCCATGGAAAAGCACCATTCAAAGAGTAGACGGACCACCTCTGGACCTTTAGCCTTGGGCTGGAGTGTCTTCTACAGCTGGCTTAATTAGGTGGCCGTTGAAGATGATGTAGATGTCCGACTCCTCGCTGTAGATTGCGTTCTCCCGCTCCCGCTTGAACATCCGCACCCAGACCTCGTCTCCTTCCAGGAGGTCCAGCATAAGGCTTTGGCTCTGCATGATGCTCCTCTCACTGGGCTGAGAGTAGAGGATGGCCACTTGGTCTTCATTCTTCATGATGTGCAGATAAGTCTCCTTGTAGTTCCAGGTGTGGACATTCAGGTTGAAGAAGTAGATCCCAGGGACGTAGCAGAAGAAGCTGCCCGTAAACATGTTGAAATGCTTGTAGAGGTTGACGAACTCCGTGTCAAAGGTCACCCGCTGGTAGTACTCCAAACTGTGGAGGGGTTTGCTGCGCCCGATCGAAAAGGCAGCGTAATGCTGCTTGCAGGAGTGGCCAGTGGGGCCCACCTGACCCTTTTGTCCTTTCTGGCCATGGGATCCCTGCAGGCCTGGCTCACCTGTTTTGCCTTCGAGCCCTTCAAGCCCTCGCTCGCCCATCTCGCCTTTTTCTCCTACGGAGACAAGAAGGAATAAGGTGTCACAAAAGTAGAGGGTGTGAAACGCTGCCCTGCCCTTTTTCTTTTCAGTTCCCTTTTCCTCAGGGGTGGGATTCAAATTTTTAAACAACCAGTTCTGTGAGCATGGCTAAGTGGGCATGGCCATGTGACTGGGTGGGTGTGGCTTCTTTTTTTGCAGCACTCCCCCCCCCCCCCCCCGTGCTCTGTGTTTTTGGTCTCCTGGGCCTCAGGGAAGCCTCCTGGGAGAAGCAGTAAGACAGCGAGGGGGATCCTGGCACAGCTGATCATCGGAACAGCTGATCATTGGGAGGAAAAAAAATGCCTTAAGGAGTGACTGGGCGGGGGAGAACGCAGTCAGCAATGATTGGTCATGTGTGCATGCATGATAAGGACTGACTGGACGGGGAGGGGAGGAGCAGGCGGAAAGGGGCGGGGCCATCCAGGGACACGATTTGCCAGTTCTCCAAACTGTGCAGAATCGTAACAACCGGTTCTATAGAACTGGTCTGAGAACACTCAACCCATGGTACAGAAGTTGCCTTCAGAAGTTGTGGGAGTTTTATCACTGGAGGCTTTCAAGAAGAGACTGTACTGCCAACTCTCAGAAATGGTATAGGGCAGGGGTGGGCAAACTACGGCCCGCGGGCCACATCCGGCCCGTTGGTCTTTTTTATGTGGCCCGCCGAAGATTGGTCCGTATGTAACCGCGGCCACTTTTTGGCTGCTTTCAGACGCGTTGAGAGGAGGTGGTTGAGGCGGAGGGCGGGTGGTGGAGAGCAAGTAGGGCGGCTGGCGGGCTTTTCAGGCGGAGCAGGAAACGGGGGCAGGAGCCCGGCGGAGCGAAGAGAACTGAAACCTGTTGAGGTCTCGTCACAGTCCCTTCGCGGGGAGAGAATCTGCCGAGCCGAGAGGAGCGCGGGATGCTGCCGGCTCGCCTCCCTGCCCCTCCGTCGTGACTGCGGGAGAAGGAGCCCTGAGCGTTGCTCTCGCGGCCACCACCGACAGCCCAGCTTCATTTCGCCTGAGCCGCGTTTGATTTGGAAGGGGGCGTGGGAGGCAGCACCAAAGGAGCACTCTGGGGTTCGGCCAACCACCCGCTGAGCGCCTCCGGGCTCCCCACCGTGGCGGGCAGACTTTGGGGCTGCACTCTGGAACCCAGAGCCACGGGACGGCGAAGCCGAGAGGCAGGAGGAGGCGCGCTGGAGCTGCAGCAGCCGGTTCAGTTCTCTCGGTCCCAGGGAATCCCCCTCCGCCGAGGCGCCTGAGCCCCGAGCACCGCCGGCATCGAGGAGCACGAGAAGCACAACGGGGCCACGGGAAGAGCTGCGCCCCAAGGAGCAACTGGTGGCCGGAGCGGCCGGGACTGGCAGTGGCGGCGAGGGCCCGACCTGCACAGGGGGGGCTGGGGCGGTTTTCTCCTGCGCCCGGCTTCGGAGCGGCCCACCGTGTGATCTTGGGCATCTGGCTCGCTGCGCCCTAGGCGCGCCTTTCCCTCGCCTCTCGGCCAGCAGCAGCAGCTCTGCCGCCGCCTCCTTCCTCCCCTAACGCCCGCTGTTGTGATGCATATTCCCAGAGACCCGAGCACCAGCAGGCGCTCACACCTCCCTCCATGGCCTTCCCCTGCGGTAAGATGGGAGAGAACAGCGGCGCCCTCAGCGCGCCGGTCCCGGGACCTCGCAGCCAGACCGAGGTGTGTTCGGTGGTGGACGTCCTGGCCGATCATCCGGGAGAACTGGTGAGGCCCGACAGCCCCAACTTCTTGTGCTTGGTGCTGCTTTCCCACTGGAGATGCAACAAGACCCTCCCCGTGGCCTTCAAGGTAAGCCGGGAGGGGAGGCTGGGCGGAGCGGGCAGGTCCTGGGAGAGGCGCGCAGATGTTTCCTGCCGAGCGGGCTTCCCAAGCGCCCGGGAGGACTCGTGGTTTAATGGCAAAAGCGGCGGCGGAATGGGCGCTGGGTGGGTGGGGGGAAAGGCAAGCGAAAGCCTCCCCACACACACACCTCGGCAAGCGGTTTGCAGGGTTAGCTAGCAGTTTCTCGCAAGAGACTGAAGGCCGGTCTGCTCCCCCCAATTAGACATTGGTTCAAGAGGAAGGGTCAGCCCTGCTACTAATTGGTGGTTCACAGTTTATCCGTGGGCACCGGAGGAGTTATGTTTTGGGGGGTGGGCATTTATTTATTTTTTATCTTATAAGTGGCCAACTTTTGTAAGCTGAGGGGGTACATTCATACACACATACACACATACACACACACAGTCGTTTATTCGTAGGGGAAGAATCTGTCTATCTATCTATCTATGTTGTGCAAATTTAACTATGACGCCAAACTTGAGTTTTGGAGGATGTCTCGGGGAAAAAAATTGTTATTTTTCCTACCCCGAGTACGGCAGGCGTCTCTCCCGCTTAAAAAACAAAACTCTTTCCTCCCCTCGCTTTGAAAAGGGGAACTGTTAACAAATGCAGTTTTTTATATGCATCGTATCTTGTGCTGACCCGGCCCATCCGTCAAATTTTAAAAGTCAATGCGGCCCCCCGAGCCAAAAAGTTTGCCCACCCCTGGTATAGGGTCTGCTTGGGTGGGGGGGGTGGACTGGGATGACCTACAAGGTCCCTTCCGTTAATCTAATCTAATCTATCTGGTCTACCTGACAAGGTTGACCCAAGAAGAGATACCGATCAGAGCTTTGCATGAAGGAGAAAAAAAATATCAAAAGCGATTGCTTGCCTTTTAAGATGTGGATATCAATGGTAGGCTGGACCTTAGGGTGCGCATAACGAGAGTTGCTGGTCATCCGTGCGAATCGGGAGGCAGTGATGGAGGCCAGCTGCTCGTCCTCTCCGCAGCATCGTACACACGGCGGAGCCCTCCTCTTCTTTGGGGCGGCCTTGTCACCCGGAAGGCTGCTGGCATGCAGAAAACACACCAAGAGCAGGAGAAAGGAGGGATGCATCTTTAACTGGCCAAAGAAGAAAGGGGAAGGGGTTTTAAAAAGGAAAGTCAGCTGCCCTTTTAGAAATATCTGCCCCATTAAAAAAGCTTCACAGGGGCATTAGGCAGAGGTGGTATTCAGCCGGTTCTGACCAGTTCTGGAGAACCAGTAGTGGAAATTTTGAGTCGTTTGGAGAACCAGCAAATCCCACCTCTGACTGGCCCCGCCAACCCCATCAACCCCAAATCACCCTAGAATATTTCTTCTTTTAGTATTTATATACATTTTATTGATTGATTAGCCAATAGCAATAGCCATGATGGTGAATCTATGGCGTACGTACCATAGGTGGCACACAGAGCCATTTGTGTGGACACATGAGCCCCAGCCAAACTTACCTGCAGTGTGCATGCGCACACCTTCCAGCTGATTTTTGGCCCATCTGTGGCAGTTTTCGCCCTCCTAGAGGCTCGAGGGAAGCCTTTGCAGCCTCGGGAAACCGAAAAATGGGCCTTCCGGAAATACCGGAACTGCCGAAACGGGCCCGTTTTTCAGCCTCCAAAGGCTCCAGAGGCTCCCGTTGAGCCTCCGGGAGGGTGAAAACTGCCTCAAACGAGTCAAAAATCAGCTGGGAGGCCTGTGCATGCACAGTGCAGGTAAGGAGGTGCGGGGGTGTTGCACGTGCATGCGCAGGGGTGGGGTGCATTGCACTGTGGGTGCCAGCACACGCACACTTTTGGCACACCACAACAAAAAGGTTCGCCATCACTGGCTTATAGGCCATCTCAACATCCCAAGGGTCATGGGATGCCCTTTTGCAACCTTCTGACAAAAAAAGTTAATGGGGGAAGCCAGATTCACTTAACAATGGTGACAAAGGGGGTCATAAAATGGGACAAAACTCACTTACCATATGTCTCACTTAGCAACAGAAATTTTGGGTTTAATTGTGGTCATTATTCAAGGACCACCTGTCTTTCTCCCAGGACAATTTAGAAAATTTCTCTCTTTGGAAATTAAAATAAACTTCTCTTTCTATTCCATTAAACTGAGCAAAAACAACAAGAAGAAAAATACAGTAGGATTTTTTTTCTAATCTCTAATTATCTCCCACCATTCCATTTTTTTTTTCAGGCTGATAGAAAGTAACTTCATAAGAAATTCACAAATTGATGCGGAATAAAGGAGGCTGTTGAATAAGAGACTTTTACCTCTACAAAAATCCTTTTTCTGTTGTTTTTTTTCCTGAATTCCTTTGAAGAGAATGGCAAAAAGAATCAAATGGCTCATTTCCATTTAGCAATGCAATATAAAATCATACCATAATACAATTTCATATAGTTTATTTTTAAAAACTTATATGAATCAGATGATATTAAACAAGGATTAGAAGAGTTGCTCCTGTCACCTCTGAACAATCTGTGTTTTGATTATAATAGCAGCGCACAAGAGGAAAACAGTTTGAAAATGTTATGGAAATTCAATCACATTTGTTCTAGTAGCACAAGAATCTGCGGCAATAACCTTGGATTGCAGAAAGGAAAACAAGGGGCCAAATCAAGCTGAGAAGAAACAATGCTTAGATTTCGAAGCAGAGGTGGCATTCAGCAAGTTCTGACCAGTTCTGGAGAAATGGTAATGGAAATTTTGAGTAGTTTGGAGAACCGGCCAATATCGCCTCTGACTTGTCCCAACCCCATCTCTTCTCTGCCTCCCATTGAGTCCCAGCTGATCGGCTGGGTCTTCTTTGGTTGCCCTGCACATGAGAACAGAGCTGGAAAGCTGGTTAGTGGGGTGGGGAGGGAATGAGGATTTTGCAGTCTCCTTCCCCTGCCACGCCCACCAAGCCACACCCACAGAACCGGTAGTAAAAAAAATTGAACCCCACCACTGCTTCGAAGTGATCATGCAACATCAGGCATTGCCTTTAAATATTCAGCAAAGCAAAATATAACCTTCAACTTGTCTACTTAGAAGAGGTAAAGTAGAAGTACATGCCCAGAGTTTTGACAGATCACATCACACACAAGAACACAAATAGAATAGAACAGAACAGAAGAGAACTCTAGAATAGAATAGAATAGAATAGAATAGAATAGAATAGAATAGAATAGAATAGAATAGAATAACAGAGTTGGAAGGGACCTTGGAGGTCTTCTAGTCCAACCCCCTGCCTAGGCAGGAAACCTTACACCACTTCAGACAAATTGTTGTCCAATCTCTTCTTAAAAACTTCCAGTGTTGGAGCATTCACAATTTCTGGACACAAGTTGTTCCATTGATTAATTGTTCTAACTTTCAGGAAATTTCTCCTTAGCTCTAAATTGCTTCTCTCCTTGATTAGTTTCCATCTGTTGCTTCTTGTCCTGCCCTCTGGTGCTTCAGAGAATAGCTTGACTCCCTCTTCTTTGGGGCAGCCCCTGAGATATTGGAACACTGCCATTATATCATCCCTAGTCCTTCTTTTCATCAGATATACCCAGTTCAGTGGTGGGATTCGAATTTTTTTACTACCGGTTCTGTGGGCCTGGCTTGGTGGGTGTGGCTTGGTGGGTGTGGCAGGGGAAGGATACTGCAAAATCTCCCTTCCCTCCCCACCCCACTAACCTGCTTTCCAGCTCCGTTCTCCTGGGCAGGGCAACCAAAGGAGACCCAGCCAATCAGCTGGGACTCAATGGGAGGCAGAGAAGAGATGGGGTTGGTGGGGCCAGTCAGAGGTGGGATTGGCCGTTTCTCCGAACTACTCACAATTTCCGCTACCGGTTCTCCAGAACTGTTCAGAACCTGCTGAAGACCCACCTCTGACCCAGTTCCAGCAACCGTTCTTTATATGTTTTAGCCTCCAGTGACCTGGGACGTTGCCGATTGCCAAGCTTCTGTATTCTGGTCACATGACCCTGGGAATGCTGCAATGGTTGTTACTGTGCAGAACGGTTGTAAGTCATTTTTTTAAGTACCATTGTGACTTTCAATAGTCACTACACAAATGGCTATAAGTCGAGGATCACCTGTAAACGTGTTATAGGTTCAAATGGCCTGGATTTTGGGCTTAAAAGCAAGAGTTTGGGGCACCCAAATTTTGTAAGGCAGATGTAGTTTTGATGGTGGGAGTGGTGAGATGGCCTAGAGGCGGAGCTCTCACCTCACAATCAGGAGGCTGTGAGTTCGATCCTAGGTAGAGGCAGATATTGTATTTCTCTCTCTCTGGGCACGATGGGAATATATCTGCCAAACAAAACTCCACATTGGAGACAGGAAAGGAATCCGGCCATTAAAACACTGCTAGCTCCATTTACTTGCCCATACTCCTCCCCAAAAGGGATTATGGGGTCATTAAATGAAGACGATGATGATGTAGGTTTGATGGTGCACACACAATACTGTACACACAACATCAAGGACCACAAAATTGGCTGGCAAGGAGAATTTAAAAAAAGAAAGAAAATAAAACAGAGAATGCCTTGAAAATGGCTTTCCTCCCCTAGCCACAAAATAGCTCCAAAAGCAATTTTGCCTGTAGAGGAAGACTCTTTTGAATGTTTGAAAACATTTTAGATCGTGTTTACTATATTGGATTTTTGATCAATGGCTGCAATTAGATGGAAGGCATGCTAGGCAGCAGAGAAGGTTTTTTAAAAAAATTCAAGATCATCACAGCAACATAATAAATGCCTTTTAGAAGTTTGTCTCTCTTGATGCCCTTGCAAAAGGGAAGGGGTCAGCTTGACCATGCTGACCCCAGGGATAGACAGGGGTACGTCTGCAATTCAGTTCAGAGGGCTGGGTCAATTTTGAAGAACCAAACCTGAGGACAGGTGACCTTTCTAGATAGAAAGAGCACATCCGCCCAGGGGTGGGATTCAATTTTTTTAACAACCGGTTCTGTGGGCATGGCTTAGGTGGTGGGTGTGGCTTGGTGGTCATGTGACTGAGTGGACATGGCTTGGTGGTCATGTGACTGGCTGGGCGTGGCCAACTCAATATCACTCACATTGAGGCACGCATCTCCTCGCCTGGCCTCTCATGACTGTGAGGATGCTGCAACAGTCGTAAGTGTGAAAAATGGTCATAAGTCATTTTTTTTCAGTGCCACTGTAACTTTGAATGGTCACTCCACACAAGCAAAGTACCAGCAAAGGAGGTGGAAAAAACTCCAGAGAAGTTCCAGAGACAGGAAGTCTAGTCCTGCCAAGAATGTAATAAGGGTTAACGAAGAGGCAGTTTCTGTAAGCAACCCCAGAATGTTTCCTTCCTGCCTTCCTTACAGGATTAGCCCAGTAATTTCTTCTAACAACCGGTTCTCCGAACTGCTTAGAATGTTAACAACCGGTTCTAGCGAATAGGTGCAAACTGGTAGAATCCCACCCCTGCACCCGCCCTTGGAATACTAACCAAGGAGAGAAACAACCTGGAATTGAGGAGAAACTTACTAACAGTGAGGACTAGTGGAACAGCTTGCCACCAGAAGTTGTGGATACTTCATTACTGGAGGTTTTTAAGAAGAGACTGGATAGCCACTTATCAAGAATGGTATAGGGTCTTCTGCTTGAGCAGGAGGTTGGCCCAGTGATGGGCTTCAGCCAGTTCACACCGGTTCAAGAGAACCGGTTATTAAGTTTCAGAGCAGTTTCATGAACTGGTTGTTGGAAGAACTCATTACGGCAGAGAACCGGTGGTTAAATTATTTGAATCCCACCACTGGGTTGGACTAGAAGACTTTTATATTATTGCTTTATAAAACCACATGCAGGTATGTCCGTCGATATAATCATGCCCTTGGTCACTACCAATCCTGTAGCGACCAGATCCTGTAGAGCAGGGGTCCCCAACCTTTTCGACGCCGCGGCCCGGTTCCGGCATCAGCTGGGCGCCGCGGCCCGGTACCGGCATCAACTGGGCGCCGCCATCTTTTTATGACGAAAAGGCGCTTCCGGTGACGTCACCGGAAGCGCTGTTTCGTCAAAAAAGATGGCGGTGCCACCGCTTCTGGTGAGCTTTTTCGGGTAGAAATGGCTTTCTACCCGGAAAAGCTCACCGGAAGCACTGGCGCTGCCATCTTTTTATGACGAAAAAGCGCTTCCGGTGAGCTTTCTACCCGGAAAAGCTCACCGGAAGCGCTTTTTTACCAAAAAAAGATGGCGGCGCCCAGCAACCAGCGGCCCGGTAAGGCTTGTTCCGCGGCCCGGTACCGGTCCACGGACCGGCGGTTGGGGACCCCTGCTGTAGAGCATAAGGTAGTACTTGCAGGAATGAGTTCCCTCTAATTAGTTCTGAAGTATTAGTACTGCTTTATAAAGCCCTGGTAAGACCACACCTGGAATACTGCAACCTATTTTGGTCACCATGCTACAAAAAAGATGCTGAGACTTTGGAAAAAGTTCAGAGAAGAGCAACTAAGATGATCAAAGGCCTGGAGCATAGGATGACTGGCTGCAGGTTTTGGATCTGGCTAGTCTAGAGAAAAGAAGGACTAGGGGTGACATGATGGCAGTATTCCAGTATTTGAAGGGCTGCCGCAAAGAAGAGGGGGGGCAAATTATTCTCCAAAGCACTAGAAGGCAAGGCAAGAGACCATGGTTGGAAACTAATCAAAGAGAGAAGCAACCTAGAATTAAGGAGAAACTTCCTAAGAGGGAGGACAATTAACCAGTGGAACAATTTGCCTCCATAAGTTGTGAATGCTCCAACACTGGAAGATTTTAAGAAGTAACTGGACAGCCACTTGACTCAAATTGACTAGGCCGGTCTCCTGCTTGAGCAGGGGGCTGGACTAGAAGACCTCCAAGGTCCCTTCCAGCTCAGTTATTCTGTTATTCTGAATACACTGAGGGATGCATTGGGAGAAAACAAAAAATTCAGGTTGTCTTCAACTTGCCACCAGTCATTTAATGGCCATTCAAACTTACAACGGACTTCAAAAAAGTCACTTATGATCGGTATCCAAAGTTATTACTGAAAAAAAAATAGGAGAATTGAACATTGACCGACCTCAGAGGTCAAAGTGCCTGTTTTATTTTGCCTAAAGTTTGGGCCAGCCCTGACCTCGTAATCATGACATTCCCTCCCGCTTGATTCATTCCAGTTCTTTGAAAGCAGATCTTTAAAAGGAACAGCGTGTTTCTGCCTTTCCTATATCGATGCTCTCCTTTCAAATTATGTATGTACAGAACATAAATGCACAAAGCACAAATATCTTTCTCGTGTTCTTTCTAAGTCAGTCCTCAATCAATCTGTTTTCTTTCTTTTCTTTTTTCTTTTCAAAGGAAAAGAGAATTTCAGGAAAATTGCCCTGGGGAATAATACGATGCACTGGCTTTAAGTGCGCTGCTCACTGGCCAAGCCTGCAGATGTCCTACTCTTAACCAGAGAAACATGTTTAATCTCCGGTGACATGGAGTCCCTGGCTTCCCACAATTTCATAGGAAGAAAGTTAGTTAGTCAGTCAGTCAGTCAATCAGTCAGCCAGTTAGTTTTAACTCAAACTCTGAAGTTTTTCTGCTAATCAGAATAATAGAAAAATGTGTGAGTTGAAATATTAACCGCAGTCCAGGTAGTCCTTGAGTTACAACCACAATTGAGCCCAACATTTATGTAGTTAAGTGAGACATTTGTTAAGTGAGTTTTCCCCATTTTACAATTTTTCTTGCCACCATTGTTAAGTGAATTATTACATTTGTTAAGTTATTAAGCCGGTTGTTAACTGGCTTCCCCATTGACTCTGCTTGTCTCAAGCTAAATGGACTGTTGTAATTCAAGGACTTCTTGTAGTCCCAGATGTGCTTTTTTCAAAAGGCAACTAGACTTCCTTTGTTTTTTCTTGAAGATATTTCACTTCTTATCCCAGAAGCTTCTTCGGTTCCACTGATGTTGTTTGCTTTTTAAGCAATTTGAATTTCTGAAGAAGCTTCTGGGATGAGAAGCGAAACGTCTTCAAAGAAAAACCAAGAAAGTCCAGTTGCCTTTTGAGACAACCAGGACTCTGGAGGACCAAGAATCTCCACAGACGTTAATAGCAGTGGATCTCTTCACCACCTGCAGTATGAAACAAGCCAGCCAAGGGGAATTTGAAAGAAATTTTCAACCAGACTGAGAATAAAATAAAAAAGCAGAAACCATCATTCCACAGTGGGAGAAAAGGGTCTGAGCAACCGTTAAGGCAGATTTTAAAACAACATTTAAAATGGACAAACAACACACCACCATTACCTGGCTTGGATGGACGTTCAGGAAAATCTTTTTTAGGGATGGATGGAAGGATGAGATTGAGCTCCACAAGAGGAATCCTTGTTTGCCTCAGTCTGTTTTTCTGGCAGCTTTTGTGGGTTTTTTTCCCATGGGCCACAACAGACATCCAGAGAAAAGAAAATGATATTTCCAGGGAACCCTGAGATGTAATGAGAGCTCTCGAGAGCTTGTCCGTCTAGGAAAAAAGACACAGATTTCTGCAAAGGAGTCCAGATGCCAGAGAGGAGGAGAGGGGAAGAGGAGGAGGAAAGGCTGCAAAACAGCCACGTCACGGAGCCTTTTCTTCAACTTTCTCTCTTTCTGGACCAGTTGGTTGTTGGCTCCGTCCTTCTCCTCTATCTTCAGGAGAGTTTGACAGCAGCCAAAACAGAAGGTAGTTCAAGGTTGTTGGTTCTGAGGGCCAAGCTGGAAATCTTCCATAGATTTCCATGGGAGCAAATGGATGGGACAGGAAGATGTCCCTCACAATCCTTCAGCCCCTTCTCATTCAAAAGTCAAGCATACACACAGAGCCACATACACTATTCATTTGGAAGATGTGCCTCCAGAAACTTAAGCATGCTTCCAAAAATCAAATGGAAATTGTTTGCAATTGGCATGTTTATATTTTTTAGAGGGCATTTTTTAAAAGGAACATTGGGGAAATTTATGAGCATCTCAAGAAATATAGAAGAGAAGCTATTTATGTGTTTAGGAATGCCCAAACATAACAAACCTACAATGTTGTTTTTTTTCCCAGCAGATTGAAAGAGTCAATGATTTTATAACATTACAATCACTGAAAACCTGAGACACCAGCACAATTCTGATTTATAGGAGTTGCACAGTTGGTTCTTTATTGCTCAATATGTTATCACTGATACCATGTACAATTATGGCTGTCCAAGGAGGCCAGGAGAAGGGAAGGGAGGAATGTAAGTGCCAGTCCTGTAAAAAGGATCCGTGTGTTCATTCTTCACTGATGATGTCTCAGTTTACTTGGCTTTGGACTCTTCAAGTTGCAGTTTTGGGAAGGAAGGTCTGGAGGGAAGAGAAAGCAAGGTTGGAAAAACCAAATGCATAGAAATATGATAGAAATATAAATACAGAAATAGAAAGAAATGCACAGGTATAGAATAGAGTGCCTTGCTGAATAGTAATAACTGTGAGAGGGATCAGAGTCCTAATGGACAACCATTTAAATATGAGTGCAGCAGCTGCCAAAAAGGCCAACACAGTTCTAGGCTGCATGAATAGAGGGATAGAATCAAGAGCTCATGAAGTGTTAATACCACTTTATAATGCCTTGGAAAAGTCACACTTGAAATACTGCATCCTGTTTTGGTTGCCACAATATAAGAAAGATGTTGAGACTCTGGAAAAAGTGCAGAGAAGAGCAACCAGGATGATTTGGGGCCTGCCAAGGTTGAGAAATCCTGGGGTGGAGAGAGAAAGATGATCTCTCTGGCTAAAGATTTAGCTTTTCACACCGGTGGGAAGCCCTCGCCCTCCTCATAGAAGAATGAAATATTTTGGGAAACATTAAAAAGGTGGATTATATTTCCCTAAACGAGAGATGGAGAAACATGCTCTTAAAGACAGAAAGCAGCCCCCAAGTCTTTCTTAATAGCCACAGCAAATGCCAGCACTTAAGAGATTAAAGAGCTTATTGAAAGAGGAAGACTAGTATCTAGATAGCTCTATTCATAAGCAAAGCAAATACTGCAGGCAGAAATCCATTCAAGACAGGATATTTTGAAACTCCTTGCAGCACAGCTAACAAAGGCTAACAAAGGGTAGGATTAGAAAGCAACCCATGACCGAACACAGGACAAAAGCCATTAAGCCACAATAGGAATTGCCCAACACCCTTTCAGAATACAAGCACCACCCCCAGAACAGTTCCTATTTCAAAGTCATAGAAACCTATAAAGATCCATCCATTCCTTCAACCATTGGCTCAGCTGACCCAGAACTACACCCTGTCTTTGTGGTTCTGTTCAATAAACCAACTTTCCAATTAGCCTCCATGTTGTTTCCGACTTCTTTTTTTCCATCTTGGAATTGAATCAGATGGATATTCCTTCCAACACACACCATTGCTTCAGAGGAAAGAATGAATTATATTTTTTTAAAAAAGGAGAAGAAATGACTTCTGTTCACTTCTGGAAAAAAAGCTTCATCCACTTGTTGGAAGAAATATCCATCTGGTTCAGTTCCAAGTGGGGAGAAAGACACTTGGAAACATGGAGGCTGATTGGAAATATGATTTATTGGTGAACAGGACCACATGGGCTTTAGGTCCTGGGCAGCTGATCACATGGAGTTGAGAGTGAGGGGTATTTATACCTTCTCTGGGCTTTGAACTTGAGCTTCCTGTTCCTGTGGCAAGGGCATGTATTCTATTGGTTGCTGCCAGACTCTCATTAGGGCTATGCAGGGGTCACGTTTGTCTTGAAGTCAAGTTTGGTTGCAACTTGGAGGGTGGTGATGTAACGAAGAAGCCTGTGTTCTGTGGGTAATTCCTATTGTGACTTAATGATTTTGTCTTGGTTTGAATCTTGAGTGACGGCCAATCCTACCATTCTACCTTTGTTCAAAATATCCTGTCTTGAATGGATTACCAAATCTGCACTCCTAAAAGCTGGCTTCATCTTAGTAACTGCGGCTCTGAGTTTCTGTCTTTAGAAACATGTTTCTCCTTTTCTGATTCAGGGAAATATAATATTTGTAATTATAATTTTTTTAATATAATTTTAATATATTTAATATATTTTTAATATTTTCTAAAATACTTCATTCTTCTAGGAGGGGTGAGTGCTAACTTTCCACACACTGAATCTCTGAAGAAGGGCTTCTGGCAAGGGCCAGGCTGACCAACCCCAAAGTTGACTTGGGCTATGAAAGGGGGTTGAATCATAGTTTGGATGTGATCACAGCTCTCTCTGTGGCAGCTTGTGTTCTTGACCAGAGGCATGCTGGCTTGACTGCCTAGCTCAGGACAAATATTTCTCTACAACTGGATCTTTCTCTGTAAGTGGGTCAGATGCAAAGGAGGAGATCTCTGTGTGTGTCTTGGACAGGCACAAGGGGAGCTAGTGGCTCTCCAGACAACCAGGCAGGGCTGGTGCCAGAGGAAGCTGCAAGTTGAACAGGAAGGACAAAAAGTTCCTTGTGGCCAAATCAGCTCTCGGTTTGGCTTCTTTCCTCAGTAACCCTAAAACCAGAAGTGTGTCTGGCGGAGGTTTTTGTGGCATGCATGCAATCTCCCTTCTCACACTTTTTTCCGCAGTGCCCCCAAACCCTCCAAGATGACTCTGCCAAGACTTGCTTCACATAATCCCCAAGGTTGAAGTTTTGCACAAGGAAACTTTACATCCTTGTCACCTTTGAGTCTGCAGAGGTTTGCTACTGCCAGGGCTTTTTTGTCTGTGTGTTTTGCACTTCCCGGTCCAAGCTACCGTCTTGGGATTTCAGTTTCCAAAAATGATTGGTTTCCCATCCAACGATTATGCAACTCTAACCCTGTCTATTTTTTTTTTCCAAGAGCAAAATTCCACAAAGTAAATTTGGGGGGCGGGGGGAATAAAAGCACGCATTGTCTCTGTCTAGGCACAGTTCATTTTCTTGGTGTTTAAAAAGCCCTGCAGGCTACAAGGAGAAGGAGGGGGAGTGGGTGGAGGAGAAGGAGGGAAGGGGAAGGAGGGAGGAGGAGGAGGAGGA